CACTCACGTAACACAGTAGGTCACTCACCAAACACATCATGTCACTCAACAAACACATCATGTCACTCACCAAACACATCATGTCACTCACCAAACACATCATGTCACTAAACAAACACATCATGTCACTCACCAAACACACCATGTCACTCACGTAACACATCATTTCACTAAACAAACACGTCACGTCTCTCACCAAACACATCATGTCACTCACCAAACACATTACGTCACTCAACAGACACATCATGTCACTAAACAAACACATCATGTCACTCACCAAACACACCATGTCACTCACCAAACACATCATGTCACTCACTAAACACATCATGTCACACACCAAACACATCATGTCACTTACAAAACACATCATGTCACTCACCAAACACGACACGACACTCACCAAACACGTCACGTCTCTCACCAAACACATTACGTCTCTCACCAAACACATCATGTCACTCACAAAACACATCACGTCACACACCAAACACATTACGTCACTCAACAAACACATCATGTCACTAAACAAACACATCATGTCAGTCACCAAACACATCATGTCACTCACCAAACACATCATGTCACTCACCAAACATATCATGTCACCCACCATACACATTACGTCACTCACCAAACACATCATGTCACTCACCAAACAAATCATGTCACTTACAAAACACATCATGTCACTCACCAAACACGACACGACCCTCACCAAACACATCATGTCACTCACCAAACACATAACGTCACTAAACAAACACATCATGTCACTCACCTAACACATCATGTCACTCATCAAACACATCATGTCGCAAACCAGCTTTTGGTCCAGAAGTATACATACTCATCAATGCGTTGTACATTTGCCTATTTGTGTATAAGAGTGCATACATTGGGTCACAAGTATACATGCGATTCCAGAAGCTAGTTCAAAAGGATATCTCTGTCGAGCATGTCCTGTTTTATTGCTTTATTTCATTTTGCAAAACAAGATTATCTACTCTTATAAGTAGATTTTATACATTACGGTATAACTTAAACTGATTTTACAGAGGTGTCAAACATAGTACCAAAAGTAAGTATATACAGAAAACAATATCTATAGCCCCGATCACTGAAGTGGAAAATTAAATATCCGTTTACGGGGTCAGGGATTTTACAGAGATGTCAAACATTTGACCAGAGACGTGTGACCAGACGGACACTAAACTGTGGGATCGGTTTAAAACTATCGTTTATGTCAACACTTAGGTAGTTATTTTTACCTATAACTGATGTGTAATGTACACATAGTACCAAAAGTAAATATATACAGAAAACATCAACAGATCTATAGCCCCGATCACTGAAGTGGAAAATTAATTATCCGATTACGGGGTCAAGGATTTTAAAGAAGTGTCAAACATTTGACCAGAGACGTGTGACCAGACGGACACTAAGCTGTGGGATTTTCTAATAAACCTGCGTTATAAGAATATTGTACTTCATGTCCTCCTGGTCATATGGTGGTGTTGTACTGATCAAGAGAACGGTGTTTTAAGATCATGAATGTGTTATGATCAAGAAAGCGTTTTGTATGATCATAGCTTTGCAAAAAAAAAAAAAAATGCGCACCTGCATCGTTCATACAAACTGTTAATGCCATATTAACACAACTCAGTGCTTATATTTACCATTTTGGGAGATTTTAATATCATAGAAACGACAGCATTTACCATTATTTCTTGCTCATTTCCCGCTCCGTTATGATGACCGCACAACTCAAAATAACCTGTTCGGGAAATGAAGTGTGCGAGTTGCCCCGATTCAATGGATTGTCCATGGGCTATCTACGCAACGAATACTCGGTTCACTTCCACCGTACATGGGCTATCTACGCAACGAATACTCGGTTCACTTCCACCGTACATGGGCTATCTACGCAATGAATACTCGGTTCACTTCCACCGTACATGGGCTATCTACGCAATGATTACTCGGTTCACTTCCACTGTACATGGGCTATCTACACAATGAATTCGGTTCACTTCCACCGTACATGGGCTATCTACGCAATACTCGGTTCACTTCTACCGTACATGTAGTTCTCACTATTTTCTTGGTTTACCAATAGCATCATTCTGAAGTGAACAGTCACGGTGACTCGGAGTACTCTATTTAATACACCACATAGATGATATAATACAGTGGCAGCAATATAAACCAACTTTTCTTTCACACATTTGGTGATGAAACAGGAGAATTGTGTTGTTTATAATTGAAGATGTATTGAATTTGAACGATATCATACTGCACAGGGGCATGGATCGCTTTACGTGCAATATCTAAAAATAGGGGTCCCCTCTACTAAAAAACACATAAATATATATTTTAGTAGAGGAGACCCCTATTTTTTTAATATTACAAGTAAAACGATCCATGCCCCTACGGTTATATGAACCTGAATTGTTTCTTACTATACGAAGATGAAGGCTTTTAAAACTCGTCCTTCCGGTCGTAGAGGACTTCAAAAATCGGAAACATGCATTTCTATGTGACTGCATTAATGTTCTTTTTATGCACAAACAAATAATTTGATATTTTCAATTAACACCTGGGTGTTGTTTATTTGTCGTTTCTGCTGCAGATTTTCATGTCCAGACTTTTGGAAAGTTTTGATTACATCCCGAGCATTTTCCAATCTGAAAACCCGTATAACCCGCCGGGTATACACAAGAAATTACTGTAGTTTAACGTCATAATAATGACGACGTCAACACGTGGGCAATGGCATTTACAGTCAGCTGTATTAATGTTATCCAAACTTGGTAGGGTAATATAAAAGCAGTGCCATTGTGGTAGATATCGTGAAATGCTCTAATGCTAAAAATAGAAGTCAAATGTACAGTTTTGTACTATGTTTTGTACGAGTTTATTCGGATCTGTAATAAATAGTGAGATACACTTTTTACATTGACTACTAATCAATAAAAGCCATTGATACAAAAAGTAGAAAATATCACTCATCCCTTTCACCTTATGTATACTAAGTTAAATGAGCACAACCTAAGTGATATCCTGTACAGCCAGCCCACTGATAACAACCCCAGTATGGTGATCAAATGCCGGTTTCTTCATTTCTTGTAGGAGTAGTTGGTGAGCGGTCATAAACTCTATGGGGTATTAATGTTAGGGAGCTGTAGAAATATGAAATTAAGCCGCATGGACGTTTAAATATAGATTCTTCATAATGACAGCAATAAGGTACAGACATGTATAGGGATACCTCTATATAGTGACATCATACAAAGTGACATCAAGCATCTATATAGTGACATCATACAAAGTGACATCAATCATATATATAGTGACATCATACAAAGTGACATCAATACCTCTATATAGTGACATCAATCATCTATATAGTGACAGCATACAAAGTGTCATCAATACCTCTATATAGTGACATCATACAAAGTGACATCAAGCATCTATATAGTGACATCATACAAATTGACATCAATCATCTATATAGTGACATCATACAAAGTGACATCAATCATCTATAAAGTGACATCATACAAAGTGACATCAATCATCTATATAGTGACATCAATACCTCCATATAGTGATATCAAACAAAGTGACATCCAAGCATCATATAGTGGCATCAATATCTCTAAATACCTCTATATAGTCACATAAATACATCTATATAGAGACAACATACAGCGACATCATTACCTCCATATTTTGACATCAATTCTCTATACCTACATGTACATACAGTGACATCAATACATCTACATAGTGACATCATCTAAAGTGACATCAATACCTCATAAATTGACATTAATCCCCCTGCATTGTGACATATATATAATACATATACATTTCAACAACTACTGGGGTATATAGCAAAGTGTGTTAAAATGAGATATTTTCTGAATTTTAATTTCTTTGCCAGAATAAAACATACCATAAATTTCTCTCAATGTAAGAAATCACACTTTAAGTACCAGTCCAGATAAAACATCAACATCATCAAAGATCAGCAGACCCATATATATATGATTCCATGTATCATCTCTGCTATAACTACAGTATCTGGGTAAAAGCTTGTGATCAAACCAGTTTCTGATTTGTTATTAAATAATCTTGCTTCATATATCAGACAAACTTTGGTCAACTGTTCCATAATGAGGTGACATATATGCAATGGCTGGTTATCAGGTCACAACTGTGAACTGTTATACCATATATCAGGCTGCGATCAGCTACTTACTACTTATATACAGCATTTTACAGATATCAACTACACATAAAAGTATATTACTAAATAAATAAATATAACTCTTTTCTACAGAAACAAAGTACATTTCAGGCACCCTGTCATCAACAAACTTTGATTTTGTTTAATAAGCAGTCAGAGCAGTATTAAACAGCAGATGATCACCCTATCAAGTGTGGTACAGTTTGTACAACAGCACTCACTCCAAGGTAAATAACTCTTCACATGTACTACAGCAGAGTTCTGACACCAAGGGAAATAACTCCACAAGACATCTTTCTGTCCAGTTCAAAGGATAATCGGTGGAGACTGTTTTCACCACAGCTGTTTTAAACTTGTAATACATAAAAAAAACCTCTACTACTGTAAGAATTTGTAGGTACATGATATACATTGTGATAAGCTAGGGTATTTGTAAATACACAATGAACACTGTAACTTGTCAGGGTATTTGTACATACATGGTAAACATTACACTGTTATGTTTACACTGTCATGTTCCTATAGCATGTATAATGCTTCAGTATCACGTCATGAAAAAGCATATCATTTGTACCACAATAAAACCTCTATTGCAGAATTTGAAGTAAAGTGTCTTTTTTCTGAATGCATATAGGCCCAAAGTACTGATTTGACACAGCCCTGAATGCATATAGCCCCAAAGTACTGATTTGACACAGCCCTGAATGCATATAGCCCAGAGTACTGATTTGACACAGCCCTGAATGCATATAGGCCCAAAGTACTGATTTGACACAGCCCTGAATGCATATAGGCCCAAAGTACTGATTTGACACAGTCCGTGTGCAAGAACCTAAATCCTCTACTGATTGGACTCTGGCCCTGAGTAAGATCTTGGCCTGATTGGACACAGGCCAGAGTAAGATATTCTAATGGCTGAATAAGGCCTTGAGTAAAATCCTGGACTAGCAGATTATCCTTAAATCCATTTCACCATCGGTGTGTTCTCACACAGCTACAGTAGCCTTACAACTATCAAATATTTATGGAAGTAGCCTGAATCTTCTGTGTTCTATATGCAGACTTCCCTATAGGATTTAATACTTCAGACTTTTGTCATTGACAATCTGTAACTTAAGATGGTCAGCTCTACACAAATGACCACTATAACTGCTGTGAGGTTCCAAACCGATCACAGTGGTGACCACTGTATTAACACTAATCACATCCTACTGGTCATTCCATGCTGGTCTTCATCAGCTGCTGTAGTCGGGTCAGTCTTTCATCAATTTCTGAGATTTCAACTGATCGGTCAAAATAATCACTATCCTCTCCTGAAACATATTAGTGGTTTAAAGCAATGTAATAATGCCTTTTATATTTCATGAAAACGATTAGAAAGCATTTATGTCATTTCATAAGCATTTATGTCATTTCATATTTTCTTAAACCTTAATGTTCTTTTACACATGTTAAGCAACGTTTTGTTTCCTATCTAGATTTGAGACCTCTCCGACTCTAGCTTCAGCACCGTATTTCACTGGTCTCTTATTATAAATAAATCCCGACAATTTCACAATTTATACATAACAGACTGTTCATGTACATTTCATCTTCATATTTTGAGATGAAGTTAATCAATGAGGAACGGTTTTATCACATGGGTACAAAAAGTATCAAAATAACCTGCACACAATCCACATGTGTACTGTTTGATTTTGCAGAGTTTGAGGCTGTGAATGTGGAATAGCTAGGGTAGATTCCTAAATTTCCTGTTTCATTTACAAGAAGCCTTGATTCTAGCCCGGTGATATCTCCATGGGTTACTGACAGGTCAAACAAGTTGCAAAGCTACTCTAACTTTTACATACTTGATTTATAAATAACTTGATATTTGGCAGGAAATGTTACAACACACAGGTATGTGAAGGTAGGATGTAGCAAGCAGGAATCATTGACAACTACCCTAACAGTATGTCCCCTACAACCCTAAGACTGTTGAGGTGTCAATGTCAGTACTGAAGTTTGAATGCTGTTACACTGGGTCGGATTTAAGAGAGGGTTATAAGGAATCTTACCACTCTCCACCGGGAAGTTTTCCTTGTTCCGTAGAGGGCGCTTCCTCTTGGTTTGATAGTGGTTGTCAGGCGTACTGGACACGGGAGTGACAAGGTCAAGGTCAAACTTATTACAACTAAACAAAGTCACCTTGTTTTGGTTTTAACATTTTATGAGATGTATTAAATTAAAAGTGCCCATGGAAGTGTGACTGTAGAGCCAAACAGAATACCTTGGTTAATGTATACAGGAGCTAAGCTAATCCACATTGCTATAGTTTGGAAATATATCTAAACATAATTATTGTTCCATTAATACAAAAAGTTCATGCATTCAGATTTTGTCTGACACCAACTGACTCTAGTAAAGAGGTTCTACTGTTCTTGGCATTCCAGGATTATGGCAGATATGTCCAAGGCATTCTGTTCTGTTGTAATCAAAAGGTTTATTCATTCCTTATTGTCTATAGTACATCATTTTAATGAGCTCTCTCTCATTTGTCAAACAATCAACAACGTAACTCACTATCTGGGATTGCATCATTTATATTTTATAAAATTTCAACTATGCAGCAAATGAACAATTTGAAATGAATGAACTGATTTAAAACTTGGGAGGTATGAGGCATGTGCTTCCTTTCAGACCCAAGTACGATTGACCAGACTGACTCAGTTCAAGCATAAAATGTCTATCTTGTACAAACTGTAAGGATATATTTTTTTGTGGTTTCTTGATTTGGCATTTATTCTGCTTGTTGTTTTCTGTGGCTGAAATAAGGAAATAAAAGAAATTAGTTCCTACTCTCTAGTGTTAAACTGTTTTTATTTTCATGTAAGTAGTATTTAATGCTAACTGTCCTGATATATGTATATCTAGATTTTAACTGTAATACTATACTTGTATCCAGTGTTAAAATGTACTAACAAACACGTATCAGTGTTTATGTAGCCAATCTGAATTCAGACTGCAGCCAGAAATAATGAAACATTTATCAGAAGAGTCTTTAAGACATCAGCAATGTTAATGGAATACCTCTAAGTCCCTTATGATATCAGAGAAACAATACTCCAGCAGATTTCATTGTTACACTAGATATTCATGGATTTTGTTTCACAGGTATTTATTAAAGAATTCCTATATTTCCATTTCATGTGCGGCATGTTTTCTAACTTACCACATCAGGACTGGACAGATAAGGGTTTGTCTGTTGTTCTGTTCGTTTGTTTCTTGTGTAATTCTTGTTGTATGTTCTTAAACGAGAGTAGGAAGAATCCGACATCCCTCCATCACTCAATTCACCTACACTTCCAACTAAAAAAGTTGATAACAAAACATACTTAAAACAATTGCTTAATGTAAGAGACAGTTAGGATGTCCCCTAAACTACGCCTGTGATGGCATAGACGTAAGAGACAGTTAGGATGTTCCCTAAACTACGCCTGTGATGGCATAGACGTAAGAGACAGTTAGGATGTTCCCTAAGCTACGCCTGTGATGGCACAGATGTAAGAGACAGTTAGGTTGTTCCCTAAACTACGTCTGTGATGGCATAGATGTAAGAGACAGTTAGGGTGTTCCCTAAACTACGCCTGTGATGGCACGGATGTAAGAGACAGTTAGGATGTTCCCTAAGCTACGCCTGTGATGGCACAGATGTAAGAGTCAGTTAGGATGTTCCCTAAACTATGCCTGTGATGGCACAGATGTAAGAGACAGTTAGGGTGTTCCCTAAACTACGCCTGTGATGGCCTAGATGTAAGAGACAGTTCGGATGTTCCCTAAACTACGTCTGTGATGGAACAGATGTAAGAGACAGTTAGGATGTTCCGTAAACTACGCCTGTGATGGCATAGATGCCGGGTTGTGTTATGTGTACCTACAAGTACAGTACAATGTTACATGTGTTAGGATGTTCCCTAAACTACGCCTGTGATGTCATAGATGTAAGAGACAGTTAGGATGTTCTCTAAACTACGCCTGTGATAGCACAGATGTAAGAGACAGTTAGGATGTTCCGTAAACTACGCCTGTGATGGCATAGATGAAAGAGACAGTTAGGATGTTCTCTAAACTTTGCCTGTGATGGCATAGATGCCGGATTGTGTTATGTGTACCTACAAGTACAGTACAATGTTACATGTGTTAGGATGTTCCCTAAACTACGCCTGTGATGGCACAGATGTAAGAGACAGTTAGGATGTTCCCTAAACTTTGCCTGTGATGGCATAGATGCCGGATTGTGTTATGTGTACCTACAAGTACAGTACAATGTTACATGTTAATGAACCCAGTATATCAGTCTGGATCTATAGTTGTACATGTTTTGGCCAATTAGAGTCCCAATGTTGGCACAGCAGAACTTTAATTATACCTGTAAATGTCTCGGCCAATCTGAGGCAATCTTGAATCCCAAACGTATATCATCTGATCTTACATAAACTCCAAAGTAAACCTCTAACAAAGTCAGCACAATGTAAAAGCCAGAGAAAAGTGAACATATAGACAAAATCGTCTAAGCCAACCCGAGGCCACAGCATCCATTCTCAATTCCGAAACTTTAAATTCAGTTGTTTGAAGTAAATGAACCCGTTATGTATCACTTCTAGAAGTCTGAACAAACTCAGATTAAAAGAAATCAAGATACAAATGTATACATGGATCTTAAAATGTCTAAGTCAATCAGTCCATGGCAGCTATCTTTAATTTAAGCATTCTTCCTATGTACAATGTCAACCTGATAGAAATCAAGTTATATCCCTAAATGTCTCAGCCATCTGGGATGTTGGATTGTAAACGAATGCCATCAATTGTTTCTTTATATATATCATTTTTCAAATATTGACAGGTGATGATTTTTCTCAAACATATTTGCCAAATCTTGGTACACGTAAAGCTAAATTATACCAGTCTTTAAGAACACTAACCTAGATTAATACCTACATAATACTGTCATTACTTACATGACGACGTCCGTGACCTGTTTCGACTGCTCGCTGCTAAAAGTGTAGAAAACAAAATCGGTTAGCAACCCAAAAACTATAGTGATAGAATCAGGAGTAGAGTCACCATTCCTCCACAAAACTACATCATTTTTTTTTAAATATTTCTCTCGAATATCTTGTCCTAGAATGAGGCATAATGTCATTTTTCAATCAAAATATAATTTTTGCAACAAGCTCCACAATATATCAAGTGACATTTCGGATTATAAATATGAGACATCTTTCATTGTTATCTATTCTTTCACTTCACAGGTGTCCTACATGGTACAGCTGTACAATCACAGGCAATGCTTCCCTTGAAATGGGGACTAACACCTACAACGTTATCTCCCCTTGCGCTTTTCAATCTGGAGTGTTGGTTGATTAAATTTATAAATTGTTTTCTATTCACAACTATATTAACTGAAAACACATTCATTTTAATTTATAATCAGATTTTCCATACTTTGACTTTTTACAAGGTGACAGCTTTTTCCACTCTAGTCATTATTTGATCATTATCTACAGCTTTTCCATACTTTCCAAATCTTTATAAGACAGTGTCAAGGAGCTATATGTATATGATAATTTCTCAGAGCGACTAGGCTTGAGTCTGTACATGACAAGTCACTCGAGTATGTACATGGTAAGTCACTCGAGGCTGTACATAAGTCACTTGAGTCTCTACATAAGTCATTCTAGTCTGTACATGATAAGTCCCTCGAGTCTGTACATACAACAAGGGTGTGTACCTGAGAGACGACTAGGCTAGAGTCTGTACATATAAAAAGGGTTTGTACCCGAGAGACAACTAGGCTAGAGTCTGTACATAAAACAAGGTTTTGTACCCGAGAGACGACTAGGCTGGAGTCTGTACATTCAACAAGGTTTTGTACCTGAGAAACGACTAGATAAGAGTCTGGACATACAACAAGGGTTTGTACCTGAGAGACGACTAGGCTAGAGTCTGAACATACAACAAGGGTTTGTACCTGAGAGACGACTAGGCTAGAGTCTGTACATATAAAAAGGGTTTGTACCCGAGAGACAACTAGGCTAGAGTCTGTACATACAACAAGGGTTTGTACCTGAGAGACGACTAGGCTAGAGTCTGAAAATACAACAAGGGTTTGTACTTGAGAGATGACTAGGCTAGAGTCTGGACATACAACAAAGGTTTGTACCTGAGAGATGACTCTGCTATAGTCTGTACATACAACAAGGGGTTATACCTGAGAGACGACTATGCTATAGTCTGTACATACAACAAGGGTGTGTACCTGAGAGACGACTAGACTAGAGTCTGTACATATAGAAAGGGTTTGTACCCGAGAGACGACTAGGCTAGAGTCTGGACATACAACAAGGGTTTGTACCTGAGAGACGACTAGGCTAGAGTCTGAACATTCAACAAGGGTTTGTACCTGAGAGATGACTAGGCTATAGTCTGTACATACAACAAGGGGTTTTACCTGAGAGACGACTAGAATTTATTCTGGAGGAGCTTGGTGACTGTTTGGATCTGTTGGAGCAGCCAGATAAATTAGACTTCACTTGCCTCTGTCTGAAAAAACAGAATCAAATTATGAAAAGCAAACTTCTTATTCATTTGATGTTTCACAGTATCTGTGATTAGGCTGAAAAAATTAAAGATCGAAGTAACCTTAAAAAAAGAAGTACTTCCATCATAGTGTCATGTATAATTTCTTTCCTTTCTGAATATTTTATTGTTCTGATCTAAAGTTAAAAGGAGTTTAAGAACAGGCATTACCAATACAATCAATGAGAATGTACAAGCTATATAGCACTCAGCTGCTACCACTCACTTTTTTAATCTGCTTTCTGTTTTTCGTTGTTCTTGATCTTTGATATAAGCTGAAGGATCAAATCTTGGATTTCTAGCACCTGCACAGCAGAAAATAAGGTATAATTGAAAACAAAATGTGCAAGACATCTTCCAGTGGTAAAATAGAATTAACAATCATTTTGAAGTAGAAACCATTCCCACTCTTTCTGGATGTAAACTTTCCTATATTTTATTAGACTTTTGATATACTTCATTTACTATTTAACTTAAGAAATGATTGGTTTCTGACTGTAACACTGACCTGCTGGGGAGGGGGAAGGCGTGCGACTTCGGGGCTTGGTGAATGAGTTTCTGTATGAAGAGTTTCGACTCCTGTTAGGAGCTGATGAAGGACGGTCACGGTCGCGGGACAATGACCTCTCCTTGACTGACAATCGGTCACTAGACCAGGACCTATCCCTGGACAGAGATCTTTCCCGAGATACTGACCGTTCTCTGGAGGGAAATCTGTCTCGTGCTGAAGGTCTTGATGACCTCTGGTGGTGGACTGGCGGGTGTAGTCTGTCTCTGTAGAACCATGAACACAGTGATTATAAAAACACATGTCTCCAAGCGAACAGTTAATACCTGATAATTTATAGTAGATATTGTAAAATTTCTCTGTTCCTATAGTATTTGTAGTCCTAACTAAAACAAAATATTCACATGGACTCATTAATATTGGACAGGATTTATGAAAACCTTTCAAAGTAAAATCACTGTTATAAATATTAAACCAAATAATTTATATGAAATTATATTCAAACTTAATCAAATCACATTTCACATTTCAAAGTCACATTGAACCTGATTTTCTGACACCATTAGTTTCTGTTTGTTTACCAGTCAATAAAGCAATAGCTAGTTAATTCCGATTTTTGATTTTCCCTATAACACACCGAAACACCCACCTTTTGTACATGGCAAGCTCATTGGTTAAGCTCTTCACCCGAACATGGAGATTCCTTTCTGATGCCCTCAACTCCTCTACCTGTGACAAATGATATATGACCCTGACTACAGTCCATAGATACCGTAAACATACTTATCGGAGTGCACTAAACATTCAGCACATTATTCTAATGTATTTAAGAATTGGCACACCTACAATATATGCAATAGAAAACTGTATTCAGAAACTGCAATCAGAACAGTTACAATTTAACATACACAAAAACCAGTAAAATAAGATAGCTATTAAAGCACGAACATTTACAGGACAATTCAAACTTAAAAACTCACAAAGCATACACTTCATAAAACACAAGAGCTATAGGGCTCAGGCTTACACATATCCCTAGCAACTCCTTGTGACTAACATATGATTGAAATGAACCTACTTAGCCTAATACCATTCACAATGAACAATAAAGTGAACCATACTACTACCTTCCATACTGATAAAGTGTAATAAGCTTTAATGAAATCTTATCTATGCATGCAGTACTTCATCAGTTACAGTAGTCGGGACAGTTTTTGTTATGGAAAGGGACATAACTCTTTAAAAAATATCTAAAGTAAAAATTGGTAGTTCATTGCACTGTTTAACAGCTACCTTGCATACTTATAAACTGAACAGTGATTCGATGAAATTTATGCAATTAGTACTTTTGGAGTAGTCTCAATAAAAACTGTGTCTACAGACAGACGGACAGGCAGAAGGACAAACAGATACCCTGATTCAGGTATACAGCCACCCTCATCAACTTCAATACAGGGGCATAATTAAATTTATTAGAATAAAGAAACATATCTTCAATAAGAACAGTGGCGACTTCCCCAATGTATCATTCCCACTGGGGCTTGTCGTGTTTCATACAAACATATAACATTTTTACAAAGATAATACTTTTACTAAAGGCTACCCTTAAATAAACAACATCTATATAATTACTTTAGAGCCTGTTTTTACAAGTCCACCACTATATCTAGCTACCCTTAATATTTGGAGTCATATCAGTCTACCAGCTCAGCCTGGTTTTAACATTGTAAAACACTTTTGACACAAAAGCTGATTGGTGCTGCTGCATATTGATGTTTTATCGAACAAGCTGTCAAGTCGTGTCTTCAATTTGATCATACATGTATGTCAGGAGAGATTGACAAATTCAACGTGACCATGTCAGTGATCATTTGCCCTAAAAGTTTAACAATTCTATACCTCCTCCAGCAGCTCTCTATATTCCTGGCCCCGTTTACTGGCAGAACGTTGGTGTCGTGTCTTCTCCTTCATCAATTCCTCCTCCAGACTCTTACTAAATGTTTTTAATACTCGAATCTCCTTGATGGCATTTCCTGACGACGTGTTTTTCATCTCTCGTCTGTACTGCAGAAACTCTGCCTCTATTTCCTCCTTTTCCTTCAGCAATGTTTTATAGCTGTAATAAGTAATGCAGAGACATATAACAGGACCGACAAACAAATCATTCCCAGATAAAGAGGGATGATTTAAACAGGATAACAATACCTAATCCACTCTGTTACTGTTCCAGATCTGGACATTGATATCTAAGTCATTCTTGTACAGTACCTGTAGACTGCTGGCTCTGATTTTAAAACATCAGTAGAATTGTACCCTAAAATGTAATGGTAATACTTACTCTCGCTGTAACTTTTCCATTTCTTTGGACTTGAAATCTGATCCTCCCTGGTGGATGAAAAAGCAACACTGTACTACGCGTATATACACAAACATTCAGTTACTGATGATAGGATACATGCACTATACAAGTTATTCAGTTATTAATAATTTCCGTTTACAGAATGAAGCCAGCCCCAACATCACTGATGATGAGAATGTGGATATTCTAGCATTGTAATGTATCACAGTCAATGTCTCTGTAATGCTGGTAATGTCATTACAGAGTTATGTCCCCTCAGCAAGCATCAGATCAAAAAGTAAAGCATAATCAATAATACTTAAATCATTATTAAAACTCATTCATACAATTATGTGGGTTTCATTTTTTTCTCAGTTCTCATTTAAACAAATAGCTTGAATGCATTATTTACATAAGGTACTGATATCACATGAAAGTAAATGTAAAATAATGACAACCAACTGTAGGTTTACTTTTTTTTTTACATATTTATCATTTCTCAATACACCATACAGTATATACAACCTTGATGTTTGAGTGTTACAGCCCAGATGTTATACTGTTACACCTCATTTTTCCATATTACTTGGTTTGGTTTGTTTAACATCCTATTAACAGCTAGGGTCATTTGAGGACGTGCCTCCATGTTTGTAGAGTATGCGTGCCTGTATGTAGGAGACAGGGTATTTTGGTGTTCTTGCCTCCTTGTGATAGCCCGGATCTGATGTCGACTTTATAGTGCTATCTCACTGACATGCCATGTCAAAGGCACCCAGCACAGCATTCCGCCCGGTCACATTATACTGACAGTGAGTGAACCAGTTGTTGCCATTCCGCTAAATGCTGAAGGTTAAACAGGGAATAAACAACTACCATTTTAAAGGACTTTGGTATGTCCCAGCCTGGGAACAGAACCCATTGCCTCCCTCACCTGGGTGAATGCCCAACATTAAGGCCAAAAAAGTGAGGTGTTGCCAAACAAAGCGCTAGAAAATATTAGGTAGTTAAAAGTAGAAAGAAAGATAAAGATCTCAAATATTACAATGGGTGCAGCAGATTTATTTTGGTCGTTTTTGTGTCACCAAATAGACTAAGAGGCACCAAAGCAAATCTCCAATTCTGCAAGCGGTCCCACCTTAGTCGCCTCCTACGATACACGCAGTGGGTAACAGCAGGTGTATTCTTTTCCCGATCCCCCACCTGCAGGGGTGTTCCATATTACAGCAATGATTCTAACTTTGATTGTTACAACTGGATGTGTCAGTTTAAATGCCCCAATAATTCAATGTCATAGTTTGTTACCTGTTGACGTATAGCTTTCAGCTCCTCCCTGAGCTGCCGGATGGTCTCCTGAAGACGACGGGGGTCAGGCTTCCCCATATAAGGAATTGGGAGGGGGTAGTGGATCCTGTATAACACAAACAACCATTAACCTTCATTTGTAAGGATTATCACAGGTCTAATATAAAGACAGTACCAGCATAGATGAAAACATATACATATTTATATTTGTTTTAGATAAGTCAACCATAGCATTCCTATCTATCTATAATAGCCATGAAAATGCTGATCCGGACATGCCGACTATAATGCTGAGTAGGATGACAACAAGGACAGAATACACATAGGCAGACTGTAACAAGGCGCAGACTTAGATATTCACCTGTCAAACTCCACAGTGTAAGTAAGGATGAGGTAACGCTTTGAGTTAACAGACACCGATCTGTTGGATGGTATGGAGGACTTGGGGACATTGGTCTTCCTCTGTCTAAGGGACTCCAGGTCTGAGTAGGTGAGCAGGTCCAAGGATACACTGTCACTGCTCTGTATCACAACAACAAGACATAAACACATCAACACTGTTTCTTCTTCACAGCATATATTTTTGGTTTCTTTTAATATCATACTTCTTCCTTACCTGATATTAAGTAGAAAGTTTAACTGTTCAAGAAACTTTAATGCAAGTAACTACACTGAAACAAAAAGTTTTTAAATCCATAATTCTACCATGACATATATTTCACTTATTTTACTAATGCTCTGAAGAAATTAAAACACATTTAACCATAAATGAACCAATTAAAGATGGATTTTTTTATATATTCTTACTGATTTTTGAAAATGCCAAATTTAAACTTATGATCAGTTATTCCTTCCTGTCCCTACCCTCATCCCCCAAAATATATTATCTACAAAAGCCCTAATAATGAAAACATCCTAATAATGAATAAATACAAACCTATTTAATAGAGTAACTAAAATGTAACCATTTGATAAGAGAAGAGTGGAAATCAACAAACCTGAGTGGTGACGGACACCAACTTACAAGTGGAGATCAACATACCTGAGTGGTGGCAAACACCAACTTACTAGTGGAAGTCAACATACCTGGGTGTTGACGGACACCAACTAACTAGTGGAGATCAACATACCTGAGTGGTGACGGACACCAACTTACTAGTGGAAGTCAACATACCTGTGTGGTGGCAAACACCAACTTACTAGTGGAGATCAACATACCTGAGTGGTGACGGACACCAACTTACTAGTGGAAATCAACATACCTGAGTGGTGGCAGACACCAACTTACAAGTGGAAGTCAACATACCTGTGTGGTGGCAGATACCAACTATCTAGTGGAAGTCAACATACCTGAGTGGTGGCGGACACCAACTTACTAGTGGAAGTCAACATACCTGGGTGGTGACGGACACCAACTTACAAGTGGAAATCAACATACCTGAGTGGTGGCAAACACCAACTTACAAGTGGAAGTCAACATACCTGTGTGGTGGCAGACACCAACTTACTAGTGGAAGTCAACATACCTGGGTGGTGGCGGACCCCAACTTACTAGTGGAAGTCAACATACCTGTGTGGTGGCGGACACCAACTTACTAGTGGAAGTCCATACCTGAGTGGTGGCGGACACCAACTTACTAGTGGAAGTCAACATATCTGTGTGGTGGCAAACACCAACTTACTAGTGGAAGTCAACATACCTGTGTGGTGGCGGACACCAACTTACTAGTGGAAGTCAACATACCTGAGTGACAGCAGACTCCAACATACTATTGAAGATGTGGAACTGTTTGAAGTTTCCTGTTTTATGGGTCAGATCCTCAATATCTGAAATAAATCATTTATAGATATATACAAACATCACAGTTAACTAGTATCGTATAACAATTGTTTCATTTCATTCTAATAAATGAATATATATGCATCTCTAAGGAACTCTTAGTTTCTCAAAGGAAACAGACATTTCTGAAAGCTTACATATTAAGTTGTCAATTGCTGTTACAGTTTGCATTCAAAACAAACTTAGCATATAGTATTATACTAAACTGATGAATATCATTCCACCTTGTCTATATATATCAACTGGATGTATAAAACAAATAAAAACTTTTGTTTCTAGATTGATAACTTACATGCAGAATCAAACGTAGCCCGCCATTGGTCAGCCGTTAATCTGTCCTCTACCTCCAGGGTCAGACTCTGGGCCTGGGTGGACATTGTTACGATGTACTCAATCCCTCGGAACACGTAGGAGGTCGACACTGTAGTCTCCTCCTCCATCTTGGTATCTTATATACCCTGCTGCAGGAATAAAAAATATCATCAATAATAAAACTGCTAATAACACTGACGTCTAGGGCTTATCAACAGTACCAGAAGAAAACTGAATAGTCTACCAGTCAGTGACAGCGCTGTCTGCAATTAATATTAACATAGAGCTCTACATATGAACCAACTATTTTTGACAAATTATGGGTTTTCTTTCCTGTTCCATTTTGTATGCTGGGAACTAACTCGACTTTCCAAGATGGTCCAAAAAAAACAGAATACAACCGGTTTACAGAGATAAAACATTGCTGTGGACAGGGATAAACTTCAATGGTGGAGAGGGGTTAAAGCTTGAAGACAGGACAGAGCCTGACGATGTCATAAAATAATTCATTTTTGTGATGGTTGAGAGGGAGCAGTTTTTGTGAATGCTATCCTAAGACTGCTGTAAATTAGTTCACACGAACGTTGTACAGTTGTACACACATAAATGAATAGTCAGAGATTTGATTTGAGCATACGATATACTCAGTCGCTGATCAAAAAAAAACATATTAATACAAAATTCGATGAAACTTAGATAAATTGTAAAAATTTGAAAATGGCAATTTAATTATTACTGGTCTACTGTAATGCTTACAAACAACAAACTGAACCAGTCTCGACTTGTCAAAATTTTGTCTGCCGACAGAAATGGACGCAGGCTCTTCTTAATTCTTTCCTTAAATCCTCTTATCGGTTGATCCGATGCTTACTGTATCTATAATTCCCCGTGTAACATCTTGACTTTCAAAATGGACCTCTTAGTACAAATAGAAAGTTTTGGACATTCCTGAGTTCAAAACAGCCGCATGAAGGCAGCCATGTTGAAATAAACGTCACTAGGTTGGGGCGTGTGTAGTTACTGAAAATTGAGACGTCCCAATATTTCCGGAATCATAAACCGAAAAATGTTTCCCTTTCACAGGGACCTGATAATTTGTTACATCTATATTTGAACCTAAGCTTAAATGTTTGAGTAATTTTACATGTTTATACATTAACATCAATATCCTTGTGGCTAACATTTATCTCGAGATACATGTTTTGTGAAGGAATTTAGATCCGTTCATTATCCAAACTGATCAAATTCCCTAATACTTGATCAATTCTACATCAACTTGCATTTAATAAAATCATCAAAAGTCTTAAAATTTGGCCAATAAAAGCATGAATATGACATTTACGTGCGCCCTACCAAAAACAAGGATTGGGGAATACGTGTTGCATATCTATAAGTGGTTGCCGAGAGGTTGGTAAAAGTTGCTTTGTATTTTGATGTCTCCCAGTAAAATGACAAGGCAATTTCCTTGAGGTTTAAGCTATCGGCGAACTTGAATCATATTATCAACTTACTCATTTCCCCGCGCCGTAAAGATCGCGTTTAATGAATCGTTCTGTTTGTGTTAATATGTATAACAGCAGTAGAGATGCTTTTTCTTCGGATGAATAAAATTGATGAATACCAGCTAGTTGATTTGTTATATTCCATCTAGAAATGGATACCAGATGTGGAGGCACAAAACACAAAAGTAAATACAAGAATCCCTAAACTGCGAAGGCGAAACATGGTTGTCCGGAAAGACCATTTTTATCTGCATGGAAAAATTATATTAAACGGGTTTCCCGTTAAGTGTGTATAGATCTCCATCCGGGTCTCCCGTCAAATGTGTAGCTGGATCACCATCCGGGTCCCCGTCAAGGGTATTGGTCACCATCTGGGTCTGCGGTCAAGTGTGTAGGTCAACATCTATGGGTCTGCGGTCAAGTGTGTAGGTCAACATCTATGGGTCTCCAATCAAGTGTGTAGGTCACAATGTAGGTCTCTCTGTCAAGTGTGTAGAATCGGACCGATATTACTAGTCCACGTACTAGGTAACTGTGAGCTTACCTTTATATCCTTGTGCGAGTTTAGGGGTTGACCTTTTATGAAATTGTTCGGAGTCTGAAAGTGGATAAGGACCCTATGACTGTGATAATACTAATCATGCATATGTAAAAAAAAAAAATGATATTAAGATTCACACATAGCTGTATCTAAAATCTGTAGCCCTATTGTTTGTGATGTCATTGTCGTATAGTGATGTTACAAAGAGTTATGATGTGCACGAATATTAATTTGGCTCAATATTTACATTGTTTTCGTGTTATATAATGATAGTATAAACATAGGTATAGTGGACATTTTATGATGGTATACATGGTATAATAGTTATTGTATACGTGTTATAATAGTCTACATGTAATCACAGTGTATATGTTATAATAGTGCTATAATTGTGTACGTGTTATAGTAGTCTACATGTTATAACAGTGTACATGTTACAATCATAATTGTATACGTGTTATAATAGTGTACATGTTATAACAGTGTACGTGTTACAATAGTAATTGTGTAAGTGTTATAATAGTGTACATGTTATTACAGTGTACATGTTATAATAATGTACATGTTATTACAATGTACATGTTATAAAAGTGTACATGTTACAATAGTGTTATAATAGTGTACATGTTATACTAGTATACATGTAAAAATAGTGTACATGTCATAATAGTGTACATGTTATAATAGTGTACATGTTATATTGGTGTACATGTTATTACAGTGTACATGTTATAATAGTGTACATGTTATTACAGTGTACATGTTATACTAGTATACATGTAAAAATAGTGTACATGTCATAATAGTGTACATGTTATTACAGTGTACATGTTATATTGGTGTACATGTTATTACAGTGTACATGTTATAATGGTGTATATGTTATTACAGTGTACATGTTATAATAGTGTACATGTTATAATAGTGTACATGTTATAATAGTGTACATGTTATAATAATGTACATGTTATAATAGTGTACATGTTATAATAGTGTACATGTTAAAATAGTGTACATGTTATAATAGTGTACATGTAAAAATAGTGTACATGTTATAATAGTGTACATGTTATTACAGTGTACATGTTATATTGGTGTACATGTTATTACAGTGTACATGTTATAATGGTGTATATGTTATTACAGTGTACATGTTATAATAGTGTACATGTTATAAGGGTGAACATGTTATTACAGTGTACATGTTATAATGGTGTATATGTAATTACAGTGTACATGTTTTAATGGTGTACATGTTATTACAGTGCACATGTTATAAAAGTGTTCATGTTATTACAGTGTACATGTTATAATAGTGTACATGTTATCATAATGTACATGTAATTACAGTGTACATTATACAATAGTGTCATAATTGTGTAGGGGATATAATAGTGTACATGTTATTACAGTGTACATGTTATCATAGTGTACATGTTATAAGGGTGAACATGTTATTACAGTGTACCTGTTATAATGGTGTATATGTAATTACAGTGTACATGTTTTAATGGTGTACATGTTATTACAGTGTACATGTTTTAATGGGGTATATGTTATTAGAGTGTACATGTTTTTATGGTGTACATGTTATTACAGTGTACATGTTTTAATGGGGTATATGTTATTAGAGTGTACATGTTTTTATGGTGTACATGTTATTACAGTGTACATGTTATAATGGTGTATATGTTATTACAGTGTACATGTTTTAATGGTGTATATGTTATTAGAGTGTACATGTTTTAATGGTGTACATGTTATTACAGTGTACATGTTATAATGGTGTACATGTTATTACAGTGTACATGTTTTAATGTTGTACATGTCATTACAGTGTACATGTTATAATGGTGTACATGTTATTACAGTGCACATGTTATAAAAGTGTTCATGTTATTACAGTGTACATGTTATAATAGTGTACATGTTATTACAGTGTACATGTCATAACAGTGTACATGTTATAACAGTATACATGTTTCGATAGTGTTATAATTGTTTACGTGTTATAATAGTGTACATGTTACAATAGTGTTATAATAGTGTACATGTTATGATAGTGTACATGTTACAATAGTGTTATAATAGTGTACATGTTATAATAGTGTACATGTTACAATAGTGTTATAATAGTGTACATGTTATGATAGTGTACATGTTACAATAGTGTTATAATAGTGTACATGTTATAATAGTGTACATGTTACAATAGTGTTATAATAGTGTACATGTTATGATAGTGTACATGTTACAATAGTGTTATAATAGTGTACATGTTATAATAGTGTACATGTTACAATAGTGTTATAATAGTGTACATGTTATAATAGTGTACATGTTACAATAGTGTTATAATAGTGTACATGTTATAATAGTGTACATGTTACAATAGTGTTATAATAGTGTACATGTTATAATAGTGTACATGTTACAATAGTGTTATAATAGTGTACATGTTATAATAGTGTACATGTTATTACAATGTACATGTCATAATAGTAATTTTATACGTGTTATAATAGTGTACATGTCATTACAGTGTACATGTTATAATGGTGTACATGTTATTACAGTGCACATGTTATAATAGTGTTCATGTTATTACAGTGTACATGTTATTACAGTGTACATGTCATAACAGTGTTCATGTTATAACAGTGTACATGTGTCGATAGTGTTATAATTGTGTACGTGTTATCATAGTGTACATGTTACAATAGTGTTATAATAGTGTACATGTTATGATAGTGTACATGTTACAATAGTGTTATAATAGTGTACATGTTATAATAGTTTAAATGTTATTACAATGTACATGTTATAATAGTAATTTTATACGTGTTATAATAGTGTACATGTTATTACAGTGTACATGTTATAATAGTGTACATGTTATTACAGTGTACATGTTATAATAGTGTACATGTTATAATAGTGTACACGTTATTACAGTTTACATGTTTCGATAGTAGTTGTGGTGTACGTGTTAAAATACATGTCATTACAGTGTACATGTTTCGATAGTTAACATGTTATAATTGTGTACATGTTATAATAGTGTACATGTCATTACAGTGTACATCTTACAATAGTGTTATAATTGTGTACGTGTTATAATAGTGTATATGTTATAGAGATTTGGAATCACGTTTTTTCACTTTCTAATGTTGTCACCTGAACCTCACAGTAAAATAATTTCTTCTTCTTCCTTGGAAAGACTTTTTGACAAATTTAAAGTGTCTGGTTTGAAATGAGCTCGTTACTCATGCATCCAGTTTAAGATGCATTTCTATATCAACTTTCATTTCTGCACAATCCTTCAACACATAATAATCTTGACAAAACTCTCCTGTGAAAATCAAGCCGTTTAATTGATTCCGTGTATAACTAATGCGACGTCTGACTGCCACTCGTTCTCAGGCCTGAAAGAAATGCCTGCTTCGAAATGGCTGAATGTTTTCTTTAAATCCTGCTCCGGACGTTATGAGAAATGTGGGCCTCAGTAGGACTCAAATGACATTGACTTGTGTTGTAGAGGGTACAAGTGAACCAATATCAAAACAAGGTATTTATGTTTTGGTATACGCACATTGACGTTCTTGTTTCAAGGTCAATGTGTTTGCTTTGGTGTTTTCGTTTCAAGGTCAATTTGTTTGTTTTGTTGTTCTTGTTTCAAGGTCAATATGTTTGTTTCGTTGTTCATGTTTTAAGGGTTATGTTTCGGTTTAATTTCAAGTCAAGGTGTCCGATTAACATTGAAGATAATTGTTTTTCGATATATGGACAAGGTCATTGTGTTCCAGTATATGTACAAGGTCATTGTGTTCCGGTATATGTACAAGGTCATTGTGTTCCGGTATTTATACAAGGTCATTGTGTTCCTGCATACATATAAGGTCATTGTGTTCCTGTATACATATAAGGTCATTGTGTTCCTGTAAACTTACAAGGTCAATGTGTTTGTTTTGGTGTTCTTGTTTCAAGGTCAATGTATTTGCTTTGGTGTTTTCGTTTCAAGGTCAATTTGTTTGTTTTGTTGTTCTTGTTTCAAGGTCAATATGTTTGTTTCGTTGTTCATGTTTTAAGGTCAATGTGTTTGTATCGTTGTTCTTGTTTCAAGGTCAATGTGTTTGTTTTGGTGTTTTCGTTTCAAGGTCAATGTGTTTATTTTGCTGTTCTTGTTTCAAGATCAATGTGTATATTTTGTTGTTCTTGTTTCAAGGTCAATGTGTTTATTTTGTTGTTCTTGTTTCAAGGTCATTGTGATTGTTTTGGGGTTCTTGTTTCAAGGTCAGTGTGTTTATTTTGTTGTTCTTGTTTCAAGGTTAATTTGTTTATTTTGTTGTTCTTGTTTCAAGGTTAATTTGTTTATTTTGTTGTTCTTGTTTCAAGGTTAATGTGTTTATTTTGTTGTTCTTGTTCCAAGGTCTATGTGTTTATTTTGTTGTTCTTGTTTCAAGGTTAATTTGTTTATTTTGTTGTTCTTGTTTCAAGGTTAATTTGTTTATTTTGTTGTTCTTGTTTCAAGGTTAATGTGTTTATTTTGTTGTTCTTATTTCAAGGTCAATGTGTTTGTTTCGTTGTTCTTGTTTCAAGGTCAATGTGTTTGTGTTGGTGTTTTCGTTTCAAGGTCAATGTGTTTGGTTTTGTGTTCTTGTTTCAAGGTCAATGTGTTTATTTTGTTGTTCTTGTTTCAAGGTTAATGTGTTTATTTTGTTGTTCTTGTTTCAAGGTTAATGTGTTTGTTTTGGTGTTTTCGTTTCAAGGTCAATGTGTTTGGTTTTGTGTTCTTGTTTCAAGGTCAATGTGTTTATTTTGCTGTTCTTGTTTCAAGGTCAATGTGTATATTTTGTTGTTCTTGTTTCAAGGTCAGTGTGTTTGTTTTGGTGTTCTTGTTTCAAGGTCAGTGTGCTTATTTTGTTGTTCTTGTTTCAAGGTCAATGTGTTTGTTTTGGTGTTCTTGTTTCAAGGTCAGTGTGTTTGTTTCGTTGTTCTTGTTTCAAGATCAGTGTGTTTGTTTCTGTTTCAAGATCAATATGTTCCATCGTACCTTCAAAGAAATCGGGGGGTTTCTGGTATTATCCTTCAGTGTGCTCGATAATTGTTCTTGTAAGTGAATTGTAAATGATCTTTTTCTGATCCTTCTGTGCTACTAGCAAATATTAAGTCCACGATAATGTTCAGCGGATGTGTGGCAGTCTCGAAACCTCCAGTCAGGTAAGGAAATGTAATGACAGAAACACTGTAGATCTAGATCCCCTCAATGGAGGGATTTAAAGCAAAGGCCAGGAACACAATAACATGATTTTCGTCTTTTTATTTTTGTTTATGTTTTATCTGTTGCCATGTATAACATGACGTTAATGTAAAATAGATATAAATATATACCGTCACATTTGATTGTAACATAACTTTTGAATACATTATCACATCATATTAATCAGTATCACAGTCACAAATACAAACAACACAATAGTTTGACGTAAGGACTGGATAGGTCTTCCATTAACATATAACTGTCCTCCAGCTTCATGCAACTCATCTCTATTGTGCTCCTATTGGGGTCTAGGATCTGTTGGATCGCACAATACTGATCAACAGTTTCCCAATAGGTGTACCATGTGAAATCAGTTTTACCACAAATGTAAGTGATGTTTGTGGGTGTCAGTTTGCGCTATATACTGTCAGAGGTATAACGAGGGTACGCCGGTGTGTAAGTGTGAGTATGGGTGTGTGATGGTATGTGAGGTTATAAAGAGGGTACGCTGGTGTGTCAGTGTGAGTATGTGTGTGAGGGTATAACGAGGGTACGCCGGTGTGTAAGTGTGAGTATGGGTGTGTGATGGTATGTGAGGTTATAACGAGGGTACGCTGGTGTGTCAGTGTGAGTATGTGTGTGAGGTATAACGAGAGTACGCCGGTGTGTCAGCGTGAGTATGTGTGTGAGGGTATGGGGGAGTATAACGAGGGTACACTGGTGTGTCAGTGTGATTATGTGTGTGCGAGGGTACAACGAGGGTACGCCGGTATAGCAGTGTGAGTATGTGTGTGTGATGGTATGTGGGGTTATACCGTGGGTACGCCGGTATAGCAGTGTGAGTATGTGAGTGTGAGGTTATGTGAGGGTATGACGTGGGTACGCCGGTATAGCAGTGTGCGTATGTGATTGTGAGGGTATAACGTGGGTACGCCGGTATAGCAGTGTGAGTATGTGAGTGTGAGGTTATGTGAGGGTATGACGTGGGTACGCCGGTATAGCAGTGTGAGTATGTGATTGTGAGGGTATAACGTGGGTACGCCGTTATAGCAATGTGAGTATGTGAGTGTGAGGTTATGTGAGGGTATAACGAGGGCACACCGGTATGTCGATATCGCAGTGTGAGTATGTGTGTGTGATGGGGTATGTGAGGGTATAACGTGGGGAACCGGTATAGCAGTGTGAGTATATGTGTGTGATGGTATGTGAGGTTATAACGAGGGTACGCCGGTATAGCAGTGTGAGTATGTGTGTGTGATGGTATGTGAGGGTACAACGAGGGTACGCCGGTATAGCAGTGTTAGATGGTATGTGAGGGTATAACGTGGGTACGCCGGTATAGCAGTGTGAGTACGTGAGTGTGAGGTTATGTGAGGGTATGACGTGGGTACGCCGGTATAGCAGTGTGAGTATGTGAGTGTGAGGTTATGTGAGGGTATGCCGTGGGTAACCGGTATAGCAGTGTGAGAATGTGTGTGTGATGGTATGTGAGATTATAACGAGGGTATGCCGGTATAGCAGTGTGAGTATGTGAGTGTGAGGTTATTTGAGGGTATGACGTGGGTACGCCGGTATAGCAGTGTGAGTACGTGAGTGTGAGGTTATGTGAGGGTATGACGAGGTACGCCGATATAGCAGTGTGAGTGTGTGTTTGTGAGGGTATAACGTGGGTACGTCGTTATAGCAATGTGATTATGTGAGTGTGAGGTTATGTGAGGGTATAACGAGGGCACACCGGTATGTCGGTGTGAGTTTGTGTATGATATGTCAGCGTATGTGGGTATTTGATGTGTTCGGTTGGAAGAGTCTGGTTATTTCTCGTGTTGGAATGTGTATATGCGTTTAACAGCATGGTGGTTTTTTTATTTCAACAAAAACGACACCATCTTGTAAAAACATTTAACTGTTTATAGTTATAGATTATCTTCCACGTCATTGCCTTTTCTTCGCTGTGGCTCGTTTTGACACTCCGTCCGGTTTTTTGGATTTGGAGCTGTACCTTCCGGCCGGACTCGGAGACTTGTTTCCGGTCCGTTTTCTAGTCACCTTAGGTTGGAGGTTCTCTACGTGAAGTTTATAGTTGGGGAAGTGTTCTTCAAGCTCTTGTAAGAGCGGCGTATACTGGTACTGGGACGGTAAGGGTGTCGACCCAGAATCTATAGAAACATTGTCCGACATCATCTCCTTCTGTACCAATATGTAGGTACCATGTGACGTCAGATACTTATTTGCATACTCATGTTTATGCATATCCAATTCCTTAACCAGACCTGTAATCAAATGAAAAGTAAAACGAAAAATTAAAATACAACTATACACTACAAAGACTACATATTTTTCAACACACGCTTATAACGTTATTATTATTTTTCATTTTACTTCATTACTGTCACGGAGTTAGATTATCTTCGAGTCCATAGTACAAGGTTTAAACAAGCGAACAAATCTATTAAGACATTTAAAATAATCCACTTGATCAAAAACAAAATATTTCAGCATGGAATATATATTCTAAAGTTAACAAATGTATGCACACATCTGGATCAGTAGTTTGATACAAACAGGGAAGTTTGTAATGTAAGTACCAACGACGATATGTTTTAATTTGGCAACAAAACATATGTCAAAAGAACATTTAATTTACCAATTTATTTCAACTTGCCTTCTTTTAAAGAGCCAATTCAACTGCGATAACAAACATCAGTTCATATATATAGCCGGTGTTTCTACGCTCAGGGGTATGACGCTTCAGCCGTGGAATGAGACATTATAGCTTAGGGGTGTGACACTATAGCTTAGGGGTGTATGTTACCCCTGAGCGTAATTAGGGGTGTGACACTATAGCTTAGAGGTGTGACACTTCACCTTAGGGGTGTGACACTACAGCGTACGGGTGTGACACTACAGCTTAGGGGTGTGACATTACACCTTAGGGGTGTGACACCACACCTTAGGGGTGTGACACTACACCTTACGGGTGTGACACTACAGCTTAGGGGTGTGGTAAGAGTGTGACAAAGGTTTGTGGACATTTTGATATACAACCCGGAGACCATTGAATAATTTCTGTTGTATACTTTGGCGAATAGCTACCGATGAATTTATGAAATCCAAATAAACGCATATTGAAAACCCATACCCCTATGTTATCGAACTTGTCACCATAACTTATCATTCCCATAGCACCACCATTGTGACACCATTATACATGGTAGGTTTCTTATCCCGCTGTAAAGCGTTGGATTATGGAATTCAATTTCTTCATTACTTAAGCTTTGCATCTCAGCAGTTACCGTTCAAATTACGTACGTTGGACAATGATCCTTACTTAGTAAGAATACACGTCTCTCGTCAAAGTTGACTCTATTATCCGTGATATTCAGGTATACTCGACACAGGTAACCCGGAACTACAGTTGTACTCGACACAGGTAGTAAAGAACTAGTTGTACTCGACACAGGTAACCCTGAACTACAGTTGTACTCGACACAGGTAACCCGGAACTACAGTTGTACTCGATACAGTTAGTCCAGCGCTACAGTTGTACTCGACACAGGTAGTCCAGAACTACAGTTGTACTCGGCACATGTATTCCAGAACTACAGTTGTACTCGACACAGGTAGTCCAGAACTACAGTTGCACTCGACACAGGTAGTCCAGAACTACAGTTGTACTCGACACAGGTAGTCCAGAACTACAGTTGTACTCGACACAGTTAGTCCAGAGCTACAGTTGTACTCGACACAGGTAGTCCAGAACTACAGTTGTACTCGACACAGTTAGTCCAGAGCTACAGTTGTACTCGACACAGGTAGTCCAGAACTACAGCTGTACTCGACACATGTAGTCCAGAACTACAGCTGTACTCGACACAGTAACCCAGAACTACAGTTGTACTCGACACAGTAGCCCAGAACTACAGTTGTACTCGACACAGTAGCCCAGAACTACAGCTGTACTCGACACAGGTAGTCCAGAACTACAGTTGTACTCATACTCGGCACAGGTAGTCTAGAACTACATTTTTTTTACATATGTCAATCATCGCGGTTGTACGTAAGTCACATTTTGTTAAGGTAGTCCAATGCTTTTTTTTAACGGTTGGATAACAACGGCGCACCCTTTTACAATCCTTAACGCGAAAACATTGTAATTTCTCAGGTTGTCAGATGTGTTTGTATACCGGTTATTTATTCCATTGAATTGATTTTAAATCTCACAAACTGCAAGCTTTATCAGATATGTATAAAATAAATTATTCCGTAATTCGATTTTATATTGAATCCTGGAAGAATAACGACTAGGTAACGTCCGACATGTTAAGTTTGAAAATGCTTAGGTAGCCGTACTATTGGTAACAGTCATGACCACAATCCACTTCCGTCTTCTGGTAGTTACATATTACAATGTATAACACACACACACTTATAACAGTACTTAATACGAATCGATATCGAGACTTTTTATTCGGGCATATGAACAAGGTTTTACACATTGTATAGGTTTGTATTGACTCGCATATAAACAATGTTCGTATACAATGTATGTATCGTATCATTGAGCCACATATCAACACAGGAGGTATATATTGTGTAGCTAATTATTGAGTCCGATTTAGATAAAAGATTGATACCTTGTATAGGCTATTTTTGAGTCATATAGGTACATGATGTATACAGTGTGTATGTTAGTGTAAGGTCACATTTAAAGAAGGTATTAATACATTGTATAGTTTTTTATTAGGCCACATAATACATTGTTCGGTAATTTTTGGGAAACATTTAAATAAGAGGCGTAATACATTGTATATTTAAACAAGGGATGTAATACATTGTATATGTAATTATTACGTCCTATTTACGTTTTATTACATAAAACCAGAAGATATGTAACTGTGATGTTTATTATGGACTGTACCGATATATAGGTAAGTTTGCAATGCCTGTAGTATCGTCTGTGACACGTATTTGTACTTCACAGCACTTTAACACTATAAGAGGGGCAATTGGGACTCGTAGCCGTGTTCGATTGGGCACTCATCCCATGTGAATATCCATACATCTTGACACCGTAAAACACCACTATCTGTAACTACTTGATGGCCACTTGGTTACGTGATCAGACTACCTAAGATCGATGTCGACAGATCCGTACATACTACCGAATGTATACTTCTCTTGATCGATAACAGTCACAATCACGACAGTTCTTGGAACGTATGGACATTTGCATCAGATGGCAGTGAACACTACACCGGGTTACTTCTGTATCCAACAGAAGTTTCTGTTAGCCCATTGGGTTGTCCGCATGTGTCCAAAACGCTTTAAGATGTCAAAATAAATACTGTGCAGTCTATAAAGAAACTGTTTTAGACAATAAGTGGACTTAATTGAACATGTAAAGGATTTGCATTGTAGATATTGTCAGTCGCCTTAAAAGCTTCGGCTAGAGGGAATTTCCCTTAAGCTAAGTCTGGGATCTCGCTGGCTAAAGCCCTAACGAGCGCACGTATTTGTGTTCACGACTTCCATCCTATTTAAAAGAGATATCGTTGATTTGATTCTCTCTATTCAAGGCAGGGGAAACCGTTGGTGGGACGCAAAAGAACCTGCCTTCGAGGGCGAAGACGTACAAAACTGGGTGGGGGAGGTAGGATGTGCACCAATTGTACATAAGGTCGAAACCATCTTACAAGCTTCAGCAAGATGGAATCTGGGATGTTCGATTCCCCATGCAAACACACGTATTCTTTCCACTGATTTCATCCTATTACAGACATATATCGTGAGTCACCGAATTATGGGTCATCGCCTAATCTAGCCATCAGACAAACCTCGTCCTCATCAGACTAACCTCGTCCTCATCAGACAAACCTCGTCCTCATCAGACTAACCTCTTCCTCATCAACCTCGTTCTGGTCAGACTACGCAAAGTGTCCATGAACGTCCGCATAACAACCAGAGTTACCAAATCCACATCACACTAATTCCCTATGGCGTAATGCCTCATAGCCAAGGTACTGTCTGATAGTTTAGTCTCCAATTAAAAGTACAAACCGATGGTCGGTGTAAACGTCTCGGACAAGTGTCCTATACTAAGTACTAAGCTAACAATACTTCATTGAAAGGACGCTCTATATATCTGATTACACCATTTTATTAAACATATTTGGTTTAAAGTGCAGCAGAAGTCTTTAGAGGTCACAGTTGATTGAAAAAAACTTAACAAATAGCGATCAAACTTAATAGACTGTGATCTATCTGATATGATCTGGCAATATTGTCCAATTTGACATTCCAACAGGGTTTAAAACACATAAAGCTATATCAATACCAGCAAATGTCTGTTTATTTAAATAGCAACGGTTCACATTGACACCGGGTATCCCCGAACTATGACAAAAACAGTAGTACTAAAACATAGCAGATGTGTTTGTTGTGTGGCTTAACGATCTACTGACACAGTAAGGTCATATAGGAAGGCCAAAGAGTAAACACGTAGACTTATTTAGGCGTCTCTTTCGCCACATAATCGAAACTGCTCACAAGCTGGTATCATACTCAAAAAAGTTAGTCACACGTGTTATAATGGCACGAGGACCTGTTTTGTAAGTTGCGAGTCGAAAACAGTAGAACTGCAAAACGGAGAAGAAAAAACGACTTTCGAGTATAGAGACAACACTAGTTAGAGCACAGAAATGAGAGTTGAAGTAAACCAGTGAGAGTAGAGTGCGGTACGTACTTAGACGGGAATAATCAGTGTTTGTGGTACGTACTTAGACGGGTCGAAAGTACACGTAACCTCCTTCATCTTATTAGATATGGGGAGAGGGGGTTGCTGCGTAAGTTTTTGGTCCAAATATCTTGTTATGTAATCATATGTTGTATACTATACGTCCGAGTATTGCCAACTGACGTCAACGTCACACAAATGATATCAAGCCTATCAAATGGTCAGTCTGGAATCCCCACTGGGACTGGCGTGTAGCTAATCCGACAGAATGTAAGCAGAGTAAATACACCCAAACAATAACTCTCCACCATCTTATACATTTTAGTAAAGTTCACACGAGTTAATGTAACCGAGCTTTAATACCTCCCCATACACGTCCACAGCATGTTGGAGACCTGCCATATGTGTTCACTGTGCGACACAGATAAACAGCATAACCCTATTTATCTCATTTAGAAATGTGGTTTACATGGCGGAAGAGTGTTGAGCCTACCCCGTGGCAAATCTATCAACTAAGCCCACAACTATTTGGTGGGT